TTTGTAGAATTCGTCCGTCGTCCGTCGACACCTCATATGATACTGGGCCCATGACTTTGGTGACTCAGCCCGCGATCCAGGAGATCCGGTTCCGTAGTCCCCTGGGAAGAACCTTCTCGGAGCTTTCCGCTGTTTGACCAACCTCCATGCCTCCAGTCCCCGGTCTGGGTGTAGTCGATCTAACAGCTTTTCCGGGCGCTGGGCCATCGGTACCTCTGCGGGGCTGTGGCCGGTGACGGGGCTAGGTGTCGTCCTCTGAGTCAAGAGGAAATGGGCTAAGCGGAACTCCCAGTCCCCCTCTGAAATCTGGCTTAGGGCTTCCTTCGCGGTCCGCACCATTTGTTCGGGGTGTTTGCTTGTCGGCAGCCAAGAGGCCTAAGAGGGGCTTATGGTCCATAGCAATTGTGAAAGGGTGCCTGTAAATGAAAGTGTGAAATTTTTTTACCCCTGCTACGATTGCCAACCCCTCCCTGTCGATTTGCGCATAGTTGCGCTCCGCGGCCATTAAAGTTCGTGAGTAATAGGCCACGGGAACGCCGCAAGGACAACCGGGAGGGATTCATCAAATTGGGTAGCACGTCGTTTGAAATTAACAGCGCTTTCACCCCCCTGAATGCCACCGCTTCCCTCGGGCCCCAGGTCCAGGGGGCCAACTTATCCAGGAGCCGGTGTAGGGGCTCCGCTACCTCAGCCTTGTGTGGCAGAAAGTCGTGGTAAAAGTTTATTATTCCCAAGAACGCCTGTAGTTCTGCTTTACATGTGAGGGCAGGGGCCTCCACGATGGCCTTCACCTTGTCCTTCGCTGGATGAAGGCCGGTCGCATCTACCCTGAACCCCAGGAAGTCCACCTCTGAAACCCCAAGGAGGCACTTCTCCCGTTTCACTTTGAGGCCAACCGAGTCCTCCATCTTGGTGAAGGCACAGTCCATGGCCAGCTGGCGCAGGGCTGCCATGAAAGTCGCGGTTGACTTGCCCGGTTTCTGGACGCGGCCCTGGAACTCGATCCGCCTGGCGAGCGTGGTTGGCTGGGGCGTGAGGTACCTCGTCAGGGCGTCGATGATCTCCTCGTAGGAGCACTCGAGGATTGCCCGGGGTGTGAGGAGGCTCTTTGCGAGGTGGACTGTGTTCACTCCATAGGAGCTAAGGAGGAGGGCCCGTCTTTTGCCTGGATCGGTCACCTCATTGTAGACGAAGTGGCATGTCAGTTGGTCTGTCCATGAGTCCCAGAGTTCGGGATGGGCGAGATCGAAGATCTCCAAGTTCCCCCGAGCAGAGACCATGGTGTAGTGTGTAGCGGGGAGTGGTGTTCCTTGACGTGGTGCGCGGTGCAGTGCTGCTTGCGAGCTATGCGGGGCGCATTGGATGGAACGGGGCTTGGTGCTGTGCTGGGATGCGAGCCAGGCCTGGCTCAGCGGGATCCCATCCTCGTCGCCACTGAAAAGTATTGGGTTCGCTGCATGGAGGACTCAGACGACGACATGCGTTTGCATACATTTATTGTACTTAACATCAGACTAACTAACGGCCCGACAAGGCCAACTATATACATACCCACCTAGCAGCCCCTAGTCCCATTGGAGGGTTTGAATTTCCCGCCAAAGTGGCTATTGGTTGGTGCTGGGGGAACTAGGATCCTAGGTTCCTATTGTTCAGGGGAGCCAAGCTCCTGACTGTGCCGTTGACCCCTAGTGGCGGTCTGCCTACATAACACTTACATTTTGTCTGTCCTACTGGGAGGAGTGTACTGGGATCCAGTTACGTATATTTTAGGAAGTGGAAATCAAATCGAATGCAATTCAGAGGAGAGGAGCAAAAAAGAGGGTATTTTAGGGTTGAGAAAGCACAGCTATTGTGTGAAGGACTTGACAGGCTTGTCCTGAAAAATGGGAGATAAATTGCTGGTAGATAGAAAGTGACACAATGGACTTGCTACCTTGATAAGTTTGTAATTAGTTTCTTGGATCTTTTTGCAGAGAGGTGTGGTAAATACCTGGAGGACAGGGGTAAAAAGAGCAAACTGCTGTCTGTGTGCTAGTCCCTTACGGGGTCTCTGGTTTTAAGGTGATGTGATTCTAAAAACCCAGTAAGGTTTCATAAAGTACTTGGGATGGGTCATTATTTTTTTTTAAAGGACATTCCGTAGTGGACATTCTGCAGCATTGTAGCTAAGTAACTTAGTGTTTCTCACCCAATATTGATATAAATATTTAGCGCTGAGGTATGTGCCAGCTAGGTTTATGGTTACCTGTACAATGGAATGGTTATGCCTTTCTCCAGGATACTTACCATTAATTCTGATTAAATGGTTGGACTTTAGAATCGGGACTCTAGTTAATTGTGCAGAGGTTGTCTTTCAGCTTCCATTCCCTGTTTGTAAGATGGGAATTTTACCAGTTTGCTATATAATTTAATTGTAACCTGTTGCTTGTAAAGGATACATAACCTCTTTGTTAGAATAGTAACCAAAGCAAATGATAAATGAGGTAAGTTAGATTTTTGTACAGACTGCTAACTTGTATCTGTAGCAGTCATAGTGCGGTGTAGCTCTTTAGGGTTACACTGTAAGAGAGATGAAATGTGGCAGATATCTTAAACAACAAACCCAAATATCCACACCGTGCTGTACTTTAACTGGCCCTATCAAGTAGTGGTGTTATTTGCGGGCAGCTGCTTGCAAAATAACTGTTTGTTGAAGAGGTGCTGCCGGGTAGCCTGGGCAGGGAGAAGAGGTCTGTCTCAGGAAGTGGGGGTGATAGAGCGGCTGTGGAACCCTTAACAATGAACTGCCATAGAAGAGCTGGCATCCATCAAGAAAGCTTACAAGGCACCCAATAAGAGTAAAGTTAAGTGCCTCATGGATGGAGACCCACGGGGCAAGGACAGAGGAAACAGTCAACCATCATGACTCCTGCCTTACAAGCACCATTGGCTACTGTTTAGACGGGGCATCTAACCAAATGTGCTTGCTTAAGTGCAAATGGGAAGCCGTAAGATGCTTAAATTGTTACATCACCCCATCAGCAGTATTTGGTTGAGGAAACCAGGCCAGATTATACTAAAAAGTAATGAATGGTACTCAGCCATAATCAAAATTTCATATAGTTGGCGTCCACTGAATTGGTTCCAGTCCTGCAGCATAAAGTTCTGTATAATCTCAAATGGCAGATCAGGGAACTGCCAGTTTGTGCTATCTTCAAGTGATACTATGCAGATTTGGGAGAGGAAATCATATTATGCACATGTGGATTGTGGAGCTGTCTTATACCAAGTCAGACCACTGGTCCATTTAGCTCTATATTGCATGCTCTACCCAGGGTTTCCAGCTCTGGCTCGGGGAATTAAGAACATAAGAGAAGCCAGTGTTGGATCAGGCCAACAGCCCATCCAGTCCAACACTCTGTGTCACACAGTGGCCAGAAATACCAGCTGCCATCAGGAGGTCCAGCAGTGGGGCCAGAACACTAGGAGTCCTCACACTATTGACCCCCCAAGCACCAAAAATACAGAGCATCACTTGCTCCAGTGTCCCTATACCTTGTGACTAATAGCCACCGATGGACCTGGAGATTTGCAGGTGGAGCCTGAGGAGGCTTTGGGAAAGGGAAGGACTTCAGCGAGGTATAATGCTATAGAGTCAGCAGCCATTTTGCCAAAGAGAACTGATCACTGCAGTCTGGAGATCAGTCGTAGTTCCTGGTGATCTCCAGGCCCCACCTGGAGATTGGTAGCCCTAGCTCTGCCACTGAGCCATAGCCACTCAGCATCAAGCCAGTACCAATTTTCTGTACATATAGATGTAATAAGAGTATACTGAAAAATACTGTGTGAAATATCATGGCTTAGATCATGCACAACACAAGCAGAGCCGACAGTTTTCTGTTTGCACTGTTTTCTAGTTCTGTAATCCTAGTCTAATTACATTGTTTTTTATATTTTGTAATCTGTGGCTGTGGAGGCTCAGTGGTTAAGACACTGAACTGTGGACCCGGAGGTCGGAGTGCTGCATGATGGGGTGAGCTCCCATCTCTAGTTCCAGCTCCTGCCAACCTAGCAGTTCAAAAGCAAGAAATTGCAAGTAGATAAATAGGTACCACTTCGGTGGGAAGGTAACAGCGTTCCGTGCGCCTTGGTGTTTAGTCAAGCCGGCCACATGACCACGGAAACGTCTTCGGACAGCGCTGGCTCTTTGGCTTGGAAACGGAGATGAGCACTGCGCTCTAGAGTCGGATTCGACTGGCTTTTGAGCAAGGGAAACCTTTACCTTTAACCTAAATCTGCCTTGAGTCTAAGCAAAAAAGGCTCTACTTAAATAGTATCTGTGAGAAGGCAAAATTGTATTAGATACTTTCTATTAATAGTAAAAAGTGCCGTATGCACCCATAAAACTCCTGTACAAGTAGTCTTCCATAGTCTTATACAACAGGCTGCAAGGGATTAATATTGTGTCTAGTGATAGGAAAATGCACATATAATCATAATATAAAAATTACAAAACTAATTATGATGGTATAGTATTAAAACATTTTGATTTCTGATCATGTTACTGAAAAAGCCATTAATTTATCAGGGTTTGTTTCTTCTTTTACTGGAAATTGTTTTGTATCGGTGCCGTGCTTTCTCTTACTGTTAATTGTTTTGTATCGGTGAGAATGGTATAAATAGGTGTTCTATGCAAGCCAGTTAGGTGAGAGGAAAAAAATCTATTAAGAATCAAAGGAACAGGTGTATATTCTTAAACTGAAGGGAGAATTAGAGGGAGAATTAGTGTTGTATCTGTTTAGGAGAATGTATAATATACACACACACTTAAATTAGCCCCTTTCTCTCTTTGATCTTTGCAGAAAGAATTGGTTTTTCCTTCTTCATCACTTAAATATGGCTGCATACTTAACTGAAATGTAATAAATCAGAAATGCATGGGATTGGAGCAACATGACTACAAATATCCTAAGGATGGAGAGAAGAACTGTTCAGACAAGAACTGTTCAGACATAACCAGGTGATTTACATGGTGACTGCAAACTCTTTTATGCTTCAGTAGAAAGGAAAGGGAATAAAGAGACATCTAAAAGGTAGGTCTGAAAACTTTATGATTCTAAATTGCTAGTAGATTAGCATTTTGCATCTGGTATAATATGACTATGATACCTACAGTACAGTTACCCAATCTAAGTCCATTGGTTTGGTGTAGTGGTTAGGAGCATGGACTCTAATCTGGAAGAACCAGGTTTGATTTTCCAGTCCTCCATATGCAGCTGCTGGTGTGACCTTGAGTAAGTTACAAGTTGTTTCAGAGCTGTTCTTTCAGGAGCAGTTCTCAAAAGAGCTCTCTCAGCCCCACTTACCTCACAGGGTGTCTGTTGTGGGGAGGGGAAGGCAAAGGAGATTGTAAACCACTCTGAGACTCCTTTGGGTAGTGAAGGGCAGGGTATAAATCCAATCTCTTTTTTCAGTAGCTTTAGACTGGAGCAATTATGCATAGGTTTGCACTGTCAGACATATTAATAGGACAAAGGAGCAAAAGTGATAAATTTCTTTTTTTTTTCAATTAAATTTTTATTAATTTCAAACTTTTACAAATTATTTACAAATTGTTCTACAACGAAAAGTAAATTTAACATTCTTTGATAGCAGTCTTCCACAAATTGCCAATCCTATTCTGCTTCTACTTCACTGATAAATTATAATCTTTAATTAATCCTGTAGAATTGGTGCGCCTAGGTTAATATTTCTGCCTCTCAAAATTGCTCCAGTACAATTCCACTTGTAAACACTATCTCCCATAATTTCCCTTTAAATCTCCTTATTTTATAAGCATGTGTTCTATATATATTTCATTTCTAAATCATTATAATAAGCTGGGTTACAATAAAGTAAAATAAAAAGTAAGAGATAAATTTCTTATAAGAATCCTTGTGGAAACAAAAATGCATCCAGAATGTTATGTAAATAACAATCTGTGTTGCTCATTACTAATTATATCACCAATAGTATCCTATAAGTACCTCTGATGTTCTTTCAGCAACATTCCACATGTACGATCTATTGTGCAGAATGTAATGGCAAACTATTTCACTCTGAGTGTTGAAAAGATACATTAAAAACAGTCTGACTACAACTGAAGTTCATATTTAAGAATATACGTGTGTGGACTGCATTGCATCGTACGGGAAACAATTATGCATTTATTGCAGAACAGCTATAACTGAGAAGAACAAACTGTAGGGAGACAAGGAAGTGACCAAAGGTTAATCCAGATACTAAAAGGTGTGTGTGTGGGGGGAAGACGTGCACAAACCCTGCAAAGGAGAGCTCTTTAGCAAAAATCAAACAAGTGTTTTTCGTCTTGGAAGGGGATAGTCTGATTTCAAAGTCATTAACAGTGCAATCCTGTACACAGTTACTCCTCTCTTGAAATTAATATTTTTAAACTGAAATAATTCTGCGTAACGTTATATTGTAAGAGTTTAAAAATAGGTAAGGACCAAGGCAAGCACTTTCCTTAAACATGAGATGCTATAGTAGGATGCCTTTCAGATTCAGTGTTTCTGAAATGCAGTATCCGAGGAGAGCTGATAGTTCTCTGCCTTTCACAGAATCTGCTGATAGTTCTCTGCCTTTCACAGAATCTGCAAAATAGCACCATTAAAAAAAAAAACTAATAGGCAAAATACAAAACCAACTGTCTGCAGGTTTTACTTCTAAATTGCCAGTTTGGTGTAGTGATTAAGTGCGCGGACTCTAATCTGGGAGAACCAGGTTTGATTCCCCACTCCTCCACTTGCAGCTGCTGGATGACCTTGAGCAAGCCATAATTCTGTCAGAGCTGTTCTTGAAAAAGAGCACTTTCTTTCAGAGCTCTCTCAGCTCCACCTACCTCAAAGGGTGTCTGTTGTGAGGAGGGGGAGGGAAAGGAGTTTGTAAGTCACTCTGAGACTCCAAGTGAAGGGCTGGGTATAAATCCAACCTCCTCCTCCTCCTGTTTTGAGAACGGAATATTTTGGGCCAATTGAGGGAAGCCTGACCTGAGCACTGAGTTTGGTTCTTAACACAATTGGGAAAGCCCTGGTGAAGGAACATGGAATGGGGTGTCCCAGCAGTACAAGCATCATGTATTGACAGGTCCATGGAAGTGGCATGGGCTCCAGGATTTGTTTCGTCAGGAACAACCCAATTTAGGTTGACTCATAGATGTATGGAAACAAGAAGGGAGGCTAATTGGTGAAACTTTTTGAGTTAAAAATGAGGGAATAGCAATCGGGTAGAAAGCAGCTACACACGATCAGGTTCCCAGTCAATTTTGTCAGTTAGGTAAGACGGTGAGACCATATGGGAAGAATTCTCTGCTATGCATTCATCACTGCAAGAAATGTGCAAGCAACAGAGCATCCATGCAGGAGTTCTCTGTGCTTTACTCCGTCAGCTATCATTTTCCTTGCAGATTTTCCCGCTGTGTCACTGGGTGGGGAGCTTTTCTTTTTAAAGTTTCAATAGTTGTTATAGCAACTACTGACTTAAAAAAACCACCACCACCACAACAACAAAAGTCCTCTGGTGGTGTGGCAGGAGGCTGACAAAAGGAAAAATGGCACCAATGTACTGTTTGACAGTGCACACCTTCTCATCCAGATGGTCTGACAACACATTTGGACTGTGTTGTTCCCAAAAAAAATCTTAACAAAGCAGGCTTGGGAAAGAGCATGTCGAGGATGGGGAAAGGATGACTGGAGCACGATGTTGTGTGGGAAAACCCCCCCCCCCCATCTCCAGTTTGAAGCCAAAGTAGAGCAAAACCTCTGTATGGAAGCAGCCAGTGCCAGGGCACTCTTAAATCAGGCTTAACTGTCAGGTGTGTTAGGAGAGAGTATATGTTCTGTACATATAATAACCATGCCAAATGGCAGGTTTCCTCAAATCTCAAGTAATACATTGCAAACTCCTGCCAACGAACCAGAACCATTGGAAGCATTTTTAGTAAGGCATTTGTTCTGTAATGGAAAAAACAGGAACAGCAAAGTAGAAAACAATAATTGGTCAATGATATGTTGTTGTTCAGTCGCACAGTCGAGTCCGACTCTTCGCGACCCCATGGACAATCTCCCGCCAGGCTCGCCTGTCTTCCGCCGTCCTCCGAAGTTGGCTCAATTTCATGTTCGTTGCATCGCTGACACTGTCTAACCATCTCATCCTTTGCCGTCCCCGTCTTCTTTGACCTTCAATCTTTCCCAGCATCAGGGTCTTTTCCAGTGAGTGCTCCCTTCTCATTTGGTGGCCAAAGTATTTGAGCTTCAGTTTCATTATCTGGCCTTCCAGGGAACAGTCAGGGTTGATTTCTTTGAGGATTGACTGATTTGTTCTTCTTGCAGTCCAAGGGACTCTCAAGAGTCTTCTCCAGCACCATAGTTCAAAAGAATCTATTCTTCGGCGCTCGGCCTTCCTTATAGTCCAACTCTCACAGCCATACATGACTACTGGGAATACCATTGCTTTGACCATGCGGACTTTTGTTGGCAGGGTGATGTCTCTACTTTTTATCATGCTGTTTAGGTTCGCCATCGCTTTCCTCCCAAGGAGCAGGCGTCTTTTAATTTCATGGCTGCAGTCACAGTCTGTGGTGATCTGGGATCCCAGGAACGTGAAGTCTGTCACTACTTCCACGACTTCCCCTTCTATTTGCCAAGGAGTGATGGGGCCGGATGCCATGATCTTAGTTTTTTTGATGTTGAGCTTCAAGCCCACTTTTGCGCTCTCCTCTTTTACTCTGAGCAAGAGGCTCTTTAGATCCTCTTCACTTTCAGCCATTAGAGTGGTATCATCTGCATATCTGAGGTTGTTGATCTTTTCCCCAGCAATCTTAATTCCCGCTTGTGATTCATCCAGGCCAATGATATGGTTAGATATAATTTAGATCCAGGGTGGCTGGTTGTTCCTGTTCATATAGTCAGTCCTAAGAACCAGTGTTCAGATCTTGAAAGGACTGAAAGTGAGTTATAGGCAACTGAGCACTTGCATGCAAGATACAACTGACCTACAACTGTGAGCCAGTTTGGTGTACTGGTTAAGTATGTGGACTATAATTTGGGAGAACTGGGTTTGATTCCCCACTCCTTCACTTGCACCTGCTGGATGTCCTTGGGCAATCCATAGTTCTAGCACAGCTGTTCTTGAAAAAGAGCAGTTTCTGTCAGCGCTTTCTCAGCCCCACCTACCTCACAGGGTGTCTGTTGTGGGGAGGGGAAGGGAAGGGAAGGGAGTTTGTAAGCCGCTCTGAGACTCCTTTGGGTAGTGAAGGGCGGGGTATAAATCCAATCTCTTCTTCTTCTAACATGTGACAGAGGTGGGCTTTGATTAGGATATAAACATTTACAATTCAGCCAGGATTTGGCAATCCTCTTGACCCTCCCACCCCACAGGGAATGCATTTTTAAAAACAGCATGGAGCACAGAGGGCCGCAAGAAGCAAACACAAGCATGATTGTTTTTGACATGGGCTGTGTGAACTGTCCAGTGGGTTGGCTTCTGTCTTTGTGGCTGTTTCATGTTTCCCTGGCCATAAATAAGGATGTTAATTCTTGTATGTTTATACAGATAGGGTGTACTGATAAAAGACATGTACATATGTGTGCATGCAAGCCCATGGGCACATACATAAAAAATGTGCACAAATGTCTGTCTTAATCTAGAGGAAAGAAATTGGAAGAAACATTGCCTGGTACCAGATGGGATATTTAAAGAGCTGTGACTCAGCTGAGGTAATACTGTGATTAAAATGTCATTTAGTGCCTCTCGTTCAGGGAAAAAAGCCCCAAAAACTGAGGTGCAAATGCCTGTTTACATTATGCAGTGTTTCTCATACTTCATGAAAAACAAATATAACAGGTTTAATTACACAGAGGATGAAAGTCAGCTCAGCCTGGCAGAGAAAGTTGGACGTGAATTTGGGTGACCAAAACAAATTCTCATTGAACTCTGTGTAACAGTGATTGCTCCTATGGCATTACTATGAGCACAAGTATTTTAAAAAATCAAGCATATTTTATGCATTTTATTATTAGATTTTTTTGGTCCCCTC